TCTTCTTCTTCTTCTTCTTCTTATTCTTCTTCCTTCTTCTTCTCTATCTTCTTCTTCTTCTTATTATTTCTTCTTCTTCTTCTTCTTCTTCTTCTTATTCTTCTTCTTCTTCTTATCTTATTCTTCTTCTTCTTCTTCTTCTCTCTTCTTCCTCTTCTTTCTTCTTCTTCTTCTTTCTCTTCTTCTTTATTCTTCTTCTTCTTCTTCTTTATCTTCTCTTCTTCTTCTTATTTCTTCTTCTTCTTCTTATTCTCCTCCTTTCTTCTTTCTTATTATTCTCCTTCTTCTTCTTATTCTTCCTTTCTCCTTCTTCTTATCCTTCTTCTCTTCTTATTTATCCTCCTTCACCTTCTTCTTCTTATCTTCTTTTTCTTCTTCTTTTATCCTCCTCTTCTTCTTCTTCTTTATTCTCCTCCTCCTTCTTATTATCCTCCTTCTCCTTCTTATTCTTCCTCCTTCTTCTCTTATTATCCTCCTTCTTCTTATTATTCTTCTCCTCTTCTTCTTCTTCTTCTTCTTCTTCTTTCTTCTTATTCTTCTCCTTCTTCTTCTTCTTATCCTCCTTCTTCTTATCTTCTTCCTCCTTCTTCTTCTTCTTCTTCCTCTTCTTCTTCTCTTCTATCCTTCTTCTTCTTCTTCTTATTCCTTCTTCTTCTTATTATTCTTCTTTCTTCTTCTTATCTTCCTCCTCTTTTCTTCTTATTCTTCCTTCTTCTTCTTTATTCTTCTCCTTTCTTCTTCTTATTCTTCATCCTTCTCCTTCTTATTATCCTCTTCTTCTTCTTATTATCTTCTTTCTTCTTTCTTATTATCTTCTTTCTTCTTCTTATTATTCCTTCTTCTTCTTCTTATTATCCTCCTTCTTCTTATTATCCTCCTTCTCCTTCTTATTATCCTCTTCTTCTTATTATTCTCTCCTCCTTCTTCTTCTTATTATTCTTCTTCTTCTTATTCTCTTCCTCTTCTTCTTCTTATTCTTCCTTCTTCTTCTTCTTCTTCTTCTTCTTCTTTCTTCTTCTATCTTCCTTCTTCTCTTCTTATTATCCTCTCTTCTTCTTATTATCCTCCTTCTCCTTCTTATTATCCTCCTTCTTCTTATTATCCTCCTTCTTCTTATTCTTCCTCCTTTCACTTTCTTATTATCCTCCTCCTCCTTCTAATTCTCCTCCTTCTCCTTCTTATTATCCTCTTCTTCTTATTATTCTTCTTATTCTTCTTCTTATTTTCCTCCTTCACCTTCTTATTATCCTCTTCTTCTTCTTCTATCCTCCTTCACCTTCTTATTATCTCTCCCTCTTCTTATTATCCTCCTTCACCTTCTTATTATTCTCCTTCTTCTTCTTATTATCCTCCTTCTTCTTATTATCCTCCTTCTTCTTCTTATCCTCCTTCTTCTTATTATCCTCTTCTTCTTATTATCCTCCTTCACCTTCTTATTCTTCCTCCTTCTTCTTCTTATTATCCTCCTTCACCTTCTTATTATCCTCCTTCTTCTTATTATCCTCCTTCTCCTTCTTATTATCCTCCTTCTTCTTATTATCCTCCTTCACCTTCTTATTATCCTCCTTCTCCTTCTTATTATCCTCCTTCACCTTCTTATTATCCTCCCTCTTCTTATTATCCTCCTTCACCTTCTTATTATCCTCCTTCTTCTTATTATCCTCCTTCTTCTTATTATCCTCCTTCTTCTTATTATCCTCCTTCTTCTTATTATCCTCCTTCTTCTTATTATCCTCCTTCACCTTCTTATTATCCTCCTTCTTCTTATTATCCTCCTTCACCTTCTTATTATCCTCCTTCTTCTTATTATCCTCCTTCTCCTTCTTATTATCCTCCTTCTTCTTATTATCCTCCTTCACCTTCTTATTATCCTCCTTCTCCTTCTTATTATCCTCCTTCACCTTCTTATTATCCTCCTTCTTCTTATTATCCTCCTTCTCCTTCTTATTATCCTCCTTCTTCTTATTATCCTCCTTCACCTTCTTATTATCCTCCTTCTTCTTATTATCATCCTTCACCTTCTTATTATCCTCCTTCTTCTTATTATCCTCCTTCACCTTCTTATTATCCTCCTTCTTCTTATTATCCTCCTTCACCTTCTTATTATCCTCCTTCTTCTTATTATCCTATTCACTTCTCCTTCTTATTATCCTCCTTCTTCTTATTATCCTCCTTCACCTTCTTATTATCCTCCTTCTTCTTATTATCCTCCTTCACCTTCTTATTATCCTCCTTCTTCTTATTATCCTCCTTCACCTTCTTATTATCCTCCTTCTTCTTATTATCCTCCTTCTCCTTCTTATTATCCTCCTTCTTCTTATTATCCTCCTTCACCTTCTTATTATCCTCCTTCTTCTTATTATCCTCCTTCACCTTCTTATTATCCTCCTTCTTCTTATTATCCTCCTTCTTCTTATTATCCTCCTTCTTCTTATTATCCTCCTTCTTCTTATTATCCTCCTTCTTCTTATTATCCTCCTTCACCTTCTTATTATCCTCCTTCTTCTTATTATCCTCCTTCACCTTCTTATTATCCTCCTTCTTCTTATTATCCTCCTTCACCTTCTTATTATCCTCCTTCTTCTTATTATCCTCCTTCACCTTCTTATTATCCTCCTTCTTCTTATTATCCTCCTTCACCTTCTTATTATCCTCCTTCTTCTTATTATCCTCCTTCTCCTTCTTATTATCCTCCTTCTTCTTATTATCCTCCTTCACCTTCTTATTATCCTCCTCCTTCTTCTTATTATCCTCCTTCTCCTTCTTATTATCCTCCTTCTTCTTATTATCCTCCTTCTCCTTCTTATTATCCTCCTTCTTCTTATTATCCTCCTTCTTCTTATTATCCTCCTTCACCTTCTTATTATCCTCCTCCTCCTTCTAATTATCCTCCTTCTCCTTCTTATTATCCTCCTTCTTCTTATTATCCTCCTTCACCTTCTTATTATCCTCCTTCTCCTTCTTATTATCCTCCTTCACCTTCTTATTATCCTCCTTCTCCTTCTTATTATCCTCCTTCTCCTTCTTATTATCCTCTTTCTCCTTCTTATTATCCTCCTCCTTCTTATTATCCTCCTTCTTCTTCTTATTATCCTCCTTCTCCTTCTTTTTGGTCTTCTTTCGCCATTAAATTGCATTTGCTAAGTTGTTTTATAGTTCACAACTAGACTTTTCAGATCAACACATCCGATTTCAGTAAACTCTGATTCGCCATTTCTTATGACATTCTGTTTGGGCAGTGGTTCTCAGCGGTCATAATGCCGCGACCCTTTAATCCAGTTCCTCATGTTGTGGTGACCCCCAAACATACATTTATTTTCGTTTCTACTTCATAACTTCAGTAAATATGTGTCTCTCGGTTTTCTTAGGCCACCCATAAATTGGTCGTTCTACCGCCTAATGTGTCGCTACTCACAGGTTGTGAACCGCTGTTTTAGGGGATACGCCAAAGGAAAGGGTTCAGTTCTGACCCTAGCGCTGCATCGGATATTTGGTGCTAACGTTAGATTTGTTTTTAAACCAGTCAAGATATCCGATTTCTTCAGCTATTTGTTGGCCTATTTAGCCTCTCCGGATAGTTTCAAGGGACATGATTTAGCCGTGTTTGTCGTATTCTTTTTATCTTTTATATAGGTGTTGTCTCCTGGAAATCCCAGACAGTGCAAACGCGTGTTGATTGGTCGGCCTCAATGGAAGACAGGGGCAGATCAAAGGCATTCCTCGCCATCCAAGGAGGCTTCCATAAATACAGAGCTTACACATAAAGCTCTCTCTGGTCTTTCGCTCACCTAAAGAATTGTCACATCCTGCACATGCACAGGCGGACAGTTTCTTATCAGCTGTCCGTACTGGTGGCAGAGCACTTATTTATGGTTTATAACCGTGGGCAATGACGCTGGTTCACATCATCCGACTTTAATTTACATGAGTGCTTAACATCCGTATGTTGCGCTTCCCGCTCATCATGGACTGGACCTTATGATTTCAGCGTCTGTGACTTAAACGCACTTAGTAATAGTGGGATGTCATGTTCGATCCTAGCTGCAGCTGATTTGGCAAAAGACCGCCTGGCTTTTGTTTTGACGGTGAATTCGAGAAAGTCATCGCAATCTACTGAACGCAAAATTACCTAGTGAAATTAAAAACACCAAAAAAAAAAAAAAAAAACTTCTGCAACATTTTGTTTTTCTAATCGTTCCAGTAGTTCTTATAATGCTTCAGTTCTCATACGATCTTTTCTGGTTTTGTTCACGGAATTTCTCACACATCTCATTTCATTTGTTGTTAGTTGTCAGCCATTTTAAGTAGTGAAAGTCTGCACGGATGTGTGAAATAATTCCTTATAATACTATTTTCAATAGCATAGTTCAGGTATTAACTCTCACAGAAAAGTTGCAATTTGAAATATGTGTTCTAAAAGGAAGAGCAAAGATTTCTGATATGGTTTTTAAACAACAAAGTCTTTTTATTTAAACAATTTGAAATAGCGATATGTGGTACTGTAAAAGTTTGAGGTTTTGAACGACTGATGAACATCACTGTACACAGGTAGAAACCCATAAGTTCCCCGTTCTTCTTTTAACTCAAATCAGAGTCTGAGGAATCTCAGCACAGTGCACAGGCTCTGTAGCACCGGCGAGGAACCTTAAACACATAGGATATAATTTTAAGTCCAAATTTTGCCCGGGCAGCGTAGTTAGGCTGCTCTTTTCGATTTCCAACTGCCAGTGGATATTTTAAGTGCACAGAAATACACACGGGCATCTTATCTCACTACCAGAGACCAGGAAGAATTACTAGAAGTCCAAGTCTATGTGGAAAAAAAATCTTAGCCCTTACCGGGGATTGAACCCGGAACCTCTAGTACTCGACACCACGCAGCCCCCTTCTGTAAAAAGAACGATCACAATGTTCATTATCGACCAGATAAGTCAACAACAACAAAACAACAACATTTGTGATCATTTTGAGATGGAGAAGTATTAACATATGCAGCTTACCCCGTTGCAACGGTAATAGTTCTCACAACAGGTGCCTGGGTAAGTCTTGCCCACTGTGTTGCTGCTTGGTGAACAGGCAGCTGGAGACAATAAATTAATTAATTTGGTAACTAACCTCATCAAGTGCTTTGCCGACTGGTGTTAGTCATCATGCTTCTGAGCATCTGTCAAGAATCTGACACTAATCTTTGCATTTATAAAATGTTCTAGTATTTTTTTATGTAAGAGAAGAAGAAGAAGGCAAGAACGAGAAGAAGAAGTATGCCATAGAAGACAGGGGGGATAAGGAGAAGATGGAAAATTAGACTAGGACAAGTGAGAAGACGCAGAAGGAGAAGGAGAAGTAGAAGAAGGAGAAGTTGAAAATAATGAAGGACAAAAGGAAATTGAGAAGAATAAGAAGGCTAAAGAGAAGATGGAGAAGAAAACGAGAGAGAAGGAGAAGGGTGAGGAAGGGAAGGAGAAGAAGGAGGAGGAGGAGGAGAAGAAGAAAAAAGACGAAGAAAAAAAAGAAGAAAAAGAAGAAGAAGAAGAAGCAGAACAAGAAGAAGATAATGATGAAGATGAACCTGATGATGTGCATAAAGATGATGACAATGAAAGCGATGATGGAGAGGGACAATAGGAAATCTCACCAGCGGGGTTTACAGCCTGAAATACGTGATTGCATTGGTTGATCCTGAGGTCGTACAGGGTTCCGTCAGCACAGGATTGCATCACTTGGTTGTTATTTGAGCACCGAATGAACACCTGGGGGTAGCTGGGGTGGGGCAAGGTGTAGATCCCAGCTGCCACGTCATTGCTATTGCACGCTGAAAGTAAATGAACACAGTAATCATTATTAGGTCGGCGTATGTGTAAATGAACGCAGTAATCATTATTAGGTCGGCGTCTGTGTAAATGAACACAGTAATCATTATTATGTCGGCGTCTGTGTAAAGGAACACAGTAATCATTATTATGTCGGCGTCTGTGTAAATGAACACAGTAATCATTATTATGTCGGCGTCTGTGTAAATGAACACAGTAATCATTATTATGTCGGCGTCTGTGTAAATGAACACAGTAATCATTATTATGTCGGCGTCTGTGTAAATGAACACAGTAATCATTATTATGTCGGCGTCTGTGTAAATGAACACAGTAATCATTATTATGTCGGCGTCTGTGTAAATGAACACAGTAATCATTATTATGTCGGCGTCGTCTGTGTAAATGAACACAGTAATCATTATTATGTCGGCGTCTATGTAAATGAACACAGTAATCATTATTATGTCGGCGTCTGTGTAAATGAACACAGTAATCATTATTATGTCGGCGTCTGTGTAAATGAACACAGTAATCATTATCATGTCGGCGTCTATGTAAATGAACACAGTAATCATTATTATGTCGGCGTCTGTGTAAATGAACACAGTAATCATTATTATGTCGGCGTCTATGTAAATGAACACAGTAATCCTTATTATGTCGGCGTCTATGTAAATGAACACAGTAATCATTATTATGTCGGCGTCTATGTAAATGAACACAGTAATCATTATTATGTCGGCGTCTGTGTAAATGAACACAGTAATCATTATTATGTCGGCGTCTATGTAAATGAACACAGTAATCATTATTAGGTCGGCGTCTGTGTAAAGGAACACAGTAATCATTATTATGTCGGCGTCTGTGTAAATGAACACAGTAATCATTATTATGTCGGCGTCTATGTAAATGAACACAGTAATCATTATTATGTCGGCGTCTGTGTAAATGAACACAGTAATCATTATTATGTCGGCGTCTATGTAAATGAACACAGTAATCATTATTATGTCGGCGTCTGTGTAAATGAACACAGTAATCATTATTATGTCGGCGTCTGTGTAAATGAACACAGTAATCATTATTATGTCGGCGTCTGTGTAAATGAACACAGTAATCATTATTATGTCGGCGTCTGTGTAAATGAACACAGTAATCATTATTATGTCGGCGTCTGTGTAAATGAACACAGTAATCATTATTATGTCGGCGTCTGTGTAAATGAACACAGTAATCATTATTATGTCGGCGTCTGTGTAAATGAACACAGTAATCATTATTATGTCGGCGTCTGTGTAAATGAACACAGTAATCATTATTATGTCGGCGTCTGTGGCTTAGACGTTGTGAACGCGCTTCGTAATGCCGGGGTGCCGGGTTCGATCCCTGCTGCGGACGGTTTGTCTTGCGATGGTTTCGACCGTGGTACCGAGAGCCGACCGTCCAGGAAAGCAGTGGCAAACTACTGGACGTAAATTTGCATAGTAAAGCCACAACAGTTAAAAAGTGCTGGGGTTGGTTCTGCAACGTCCTGTAAAAGGATAAATCAAATAAAAAAGAAATAATCACAGATCTCTTTTCCTTAAAAAGGAACGATTACAATTTTGTTTTCCTTATTTTACCCTGTGTGGGTTCCCGGGCCCCGTTGTCGAGGAAAACAAGTATAGACCCACTGTCTTCCAACAAGCATGTCCGATGAGTCGATAAATTAGGGACTTTTTTTTTAGTCGGGGCGCATCTGCCCGGGCGGCAGGGAGCAGCCAAATGCACACAAAAAAGCCAAAAAGACTGCCAAGGTCGAACCAGCCCTGAGTGGGTACCAGTTACAGTCATGGGAAGTAAAAGCGACCAGTGTTGCTGACCAAATCACCCACAAAGTGCCGTTTGGTCTATAAAATATTAATCTAGCCCTATGTACCCAGTACGCCTGAAGGCATGGAAAAGGGTCCTTTACTTTACTGTATCCATTATTTAGCTTCAAATCAATTAAAGTAAAACTGTCTCTTTATACAACAATAACAAAGAGACAAACGCTGTTTTGGCCACATAATGAGAAAAGAGACATTGGATAACATCGTAACAACTGGAAAGATCAGTGGAGAAAGGGGTAAAGGCAGACCAAGAGAGATGATGCTGGATGGACTGAAACGATGGAATAGAGAGATATCGTCAAGACAGCTGTTCCAGTCCACCAGGGATCGTGATCTGTGGAGATGCATGAGCGCCTACGCCAGTTGGCAGGGCATGTGATGATGATGATGATGATGATGATGATGATGATGATGATGATGAAAACTGTCAGGTGCTCCAATGATTAATGACAATAGTAACAGAAAGCGTGAAAGAATGAGATAAAGTGAAGGCACACCTGGTATGGGTTTATTTATATCGGTCTGTCCACTGGTCAGAGAAATCAGGACAAGCAGGCCTAAAGTTGAGGCCAGGATTCTTGAAAACGCCATACTTCTTGTTTCACAGGTCGGACTCCTTCAATCGGATATGATCTTTTCTGAAGACAAATTATATATATTGTTTTGTTAATAAAAGAACATCAAAGCAATGATTTACCGTAGTACATTTAAATAAAGAAGACAAAAACAATAGATTGTACAATTTATTGCCTGGCATATTTCGCTCTTACCTCCGCTCTAAACTGTGTAAACAAAAAGACATGATTCTGACACTATACTGTCCTGGTAAAACAACCAGTTGTGTTTTATTGTTGTTGAATTTGTACCTCACTTATACAGCATTCACTTCTTCATCTTCGTGTTCACCAGCTGTAAACTCTGGCGGAAAGTTCTGATTGTTCATCCACTTTCGGACTGCAGTCCTGTTCCAGAACCTGAGTGTTGCATGTGCATCCGTTTTACATATCTGACCGCTGGTTCCTTGCCTCTAAGGTAGATGTACTTTGACTTCGAAGAAAGCTCTTATTAGTCGACTCTTACGACCTTCTTTTGGGTAGGCAGGGGCTCTATTCTTGTTTTCCATATAATAGGGCGCCGGAACCCACACGGAAAGGATTAACTTATTTGCTTCATTTATGTAGTTTTTTTTAATTGTAGTACGCACTTCATAAAACAAAGTGGAATATGCCAATCATTAAATTATGAAATCTGTTATTTATGTCTTCTTTATTACAATAAAAGAAAGTTAAAAGTGACGTGAATCATTATGGTCTGAGGAAAATAGCGCTGCAGGGAGTTAGCAGGGGATCTGGTCGACGCTTAACACTCAAGGGGAAGGCAAGACAAATATACGGTCAGACGGTCACTGTACCAGTTCAATTTGAACTCTTCGCTTGCTGCTGAAGATGGGAGCAGAGCACTTATGGGAGTTTCCCGAGTGCTGTGATGTCGATTCTAGATTTAACATTCAACATTCAAGGTAAGTCTGAGTCGAGAGATCGCTTTCGCTGCACCGGTTTTTATTCCATATGGCTTAGTTTCTCTCAGCAGAATGGTTAGCCAACTGCCGAGTGAGTTAAGAATAAAGCACGAACACAGAAGCTCCAGTGACTATCCCTGTGGGTCTCTGTCAAAATGGCCCTCGTAAACGGAACGATGCAACCGAGAAACGAAGCCATGACCTGCATAGTGCGAGGAAAATGGCTTGACCACTTCGCCACAGGCACCTCCCAGTCATGATGAAAGCAAACAGGTAGAGAATTCTAGGTCTTGTTTGCAACGGCGACCCTAGGGGACGTAATCAGTGTCGTAGTAGTAGTAGTAGTAGTAGCAGTAGGAGTAGTAGTAGTAGTAGTAGTAGTAGTAGTAGTAGTAGTAGTAGTAGTAGTAGTAGTAGTAGTAGTAGTAGTAGTAGTAGTAGTAGTAGTAGTAGTAGTAGTAGTAGTAGTAGTAGTAGTAATAGTAGTACATTTTACCCCACTAGGACATTACACAAGCGATAAACACCCGATGACACAAAATTCCACCATGTGGATGAGGATCACCCATGGAGAGTTTGCCTGCGGATCCGTAAGTCGTGGGTTCAAATCCGAATAGTATTATTCTTCTTCTTTTTCTCCACCTCTTTCCTTTTTTATTCTTTTACTACTACTGATTATTATTATTATCTAACAAGAAAGTTACTACTCCTATAATTATGTGAATATAGTTTACATGTTAGGATTGAGGGGAATCGACTTCATTGGACTGGGTTTTATCACATATAGATCATTCTCTCTACGCAGAAACAGCTGACACCACGTCTTCCCTGTGGGTTTAACTTCACTTTCTAGCTCCCTTCTTCGTGTCTTTTCCCAGTGATTTCTATCCCCCTATGGGTTTCAGTTTAAAAACTTTCTAGAGTATTGTTCTCATATTTTTTAAACGCATGTTCTATCCAACGATAACAGTCTACTGGAACTTGCTTAGTTCTCTCCCAAAGCTCCAAATCTTTGATTGTGTCATACCATTTAATTCTCTATATTCTGCGCTGGTACCAGCTACTGAACATGTATAGTTTGTTAGTAATTATTTTAGTTGTTCTCCATGTTTCCGCTCCATAATTAGGTTGAGTATCAAGTTTAATTTCATTTGATCTCCTCATATTTTCCGGTGCTATGAAAGCTTAAACGTTTGGCACGGTTATAATATTATATCATTGTCTTCCCCATTTGGGATGCAATTGTTCGTTATTTGAAGCCCCATCCTGGCTTCTGTCGGGGGCCCTGAAAATAGCCGGGGCATAGATATGGCATAGCCATAGATTTAGCCTAACGGCTGAAAGGGGTTTGTGTGACCTCTCCACTGGTGATCCTCATCCGAATGGTAGCACTTTGTGTCACCTGGTGTTTATCGCTTTGTGGTGTCCTGGTGAGGTAAAACAAAATCAGTCAGTGAGTCGGTTATGTTAGCACACCTTGATGGATACGAATTGATCATGTAGGAACATGTAGTTAAATTTGAAGATGGGATAGTTGTGATTGGAAATATATCTGAAGTGTCCCTATGCAGACGTATCTACAGCATAACGGTTATAGAGTCTTCTTAGTCAAGACTATACTCACCAAGAACAGAACCTGAACACCCTATGAAGTTGAGTGATGCAGTGGAACCAGCCAGCTCAATATATAAGCCTTCCACCAGAAGAAGGCGGAGCGAGCTTTCAATACAACGTAATGTTTGCAGACGAGAATAAAATCAACAAAGAGTTGACTTGCCTGACCACAGACACCTATGTGGAGGTGGCACAGCCACGCCCAAGCTCGGGTGCACTCAATCAGGGATGGACCTTCACCTGAGATGTCTCTTTACTTTCCAGTCTAGTGCATCCTGGTTGAATAAGAAAGAAAAAAATATGCTGAGTGTGAGTTAAAGCAGGTAATCGGAGATCGAAGCACCTGGGCAAATATAGGCAACAATTTCAGTTGGGGGTTTTCGATGGTCCTCGTTTTATTTTCTTCAATAATTTTTTATATAACTATGTTAAGATTACGTCAGGTTTTCTTATAATTAAAATCTCTTTTTCCTTTTATTTTACCAAAGGTTTCTTCTAATTCACACTAGGTTTTCTGCTAATTTACATCACATTATATTCTCATCGGACTGTCTTGTAATTAATATAAGAAATCCGTGTAATTTGGATCTTACTGTCTTGTTTGCATCACATCTCCTATTAATTTACTTCAGATTGTCATGCAGTGTGCATCAGACTTACTTGGTATTTACATCAATTAAATCGAATCGTCTTGAAGATAAATATGTATTCTATGCCAGATTTCCTACTATTTTATCACTCATTTTCATGTTTTAGTTATTTAATCTTAGTGTATTTTACATCATATTTCCCTGTATGTTAATCACATTTCCCTGAGTCATGATAAGAATAATGTATATTTTATTCGTATTTTCCAGAAAGAAAATCCAGATTTCTATGTATTCTACGTCAGATTTCTTTGTAATTTACTTCAGTCTTCATATAACTTTATGCCAGATTTCCTCCTATTTTACACCAGATTTTCATGTAAATTTACACCAAAATTCCCTGTAATTTTAAATTACATTTCACAACAGATTTCTCGGTATTTTACGTCAGATTTTCCTGAATTTTACACCAGATGGCTCCGTAATTTCATATATATGATTTCCTTGCATCATATTTCCATGTAACCTACACGAGATACTGAGTGTGCTCCAGAGACACTGATACAAAACTTTAAAGTAAAGCAGTACTGACATTATTTTTCCGTGATACCCTAAGAAAATCGGCTCTGTGGCTAAGTCGATACGAACGCTTCGTAATGCCGGGATGCCGGGTTCGATCCCACATGCGGGCCATGCGCCTTGCGTTGGTTTCGACAGTGCTATCAGGTGGCCGACCGTCCAGGAAACAATGGCAAACTACTGGACGTAAATTTGCCTAGAGAAACCACACAACAGCCAGGCGCTCCTAAGAAGCGAACAGAAGGGCCTGTTCTAGAGATCTCTTCCTCCCCTGACGCCGCTATGTATTCCCGGACTAGAGGACAGAAGAAGAAGAGAAAGATCGCATCAGACAGCGACGACGGGGTATTTCAGTTGCAGTGCTTTTAACCACAAATGAAAGAACATCTACACGGAATGGTTAAAGAAAAATATAGCTTGTCTTAAAAATAAACATTGCTTCGCGATCTTCTTCTTCTTCTGCGTTCATCCGAAGATGTAATTGCGTTGTGTCCGTTTACAGCATGGCTGCGATATTTGCACATTTCGGCCAACACATCTGACTTCTGAAGGCATTTGTTGACCGGGTTAGCCTTTCCGGTTAGTTTCTGGGGACATGGCAGTCTCACTGTTGTCTGGTCATCTTTGTTTCCCAGGTCACATGTGGTGCCCCAATCAGGCACATCCAGAGAGGCCACATAATGCTGATCAGCCCTCAAGAGAAGGCAGGGGCAGAACATGAGCATTCCCCGCCATCCAAGGAGGCTTTCACAAATTCAGAGCTAATACATTGTGCTCTGATACTGGGCTCACCCAAAGAATCGCAACGTCCTGCTCATGACTATTCAACCTCACTTCCATGTTTTGAACATCTCATACACCATGGGCTATCTCTTTTGTAGCCAACAGTGTGCAGCCTGCAGACCTGGGATTTCGTTTACCTACACCACAAAATGAGTACTTTGCTTCTTTTACATGTTAGACTTTTACTGCAGTGGACTTCCTCATCCACTATAGTTTCACGTCGTTAACGAGCTCTTCATCTCTAGAGACTCCCAGCTCAGAGAATCCCGGACAGTTTTATTCTTCTTATACCTTCAGATGTCAGTGTGGATATATTTGAAGAAATCAGCAGTAACTTGAGGTTGTTGACATCTCCACACAGTTTATTCTCAAAAGTTGTGAGTGTTAGCCAGAATAATTTTTTTTTTGTTCTGCATATATTGGGCACTCTTGCAGCAAGTGTTTAGCCGTCATTTTACCCTTTCCACAGTTACAATCATCATTGTCTCCTATCTTTAGTTTATAGAACA